GAAAAGGAAAAAAATGGAAACAAGGTCTTTGCAAATAGGGAAGGGTGGAGGGGGTGAAGGGAGGGCAGGGGAATGGGAAAAAAATAAGAACCAAGCTACTCATGTAATGGTACAAGATCCCAATGATGAATGTAGCTGTATTTTATACCTAAAATGTACCAATAAACTTAATGGGGAAAAAAAAAAAGAAAGGAAAAAACTAAATTTTCAAACTCGTCTCTCCACCCACAACAGAAGAAGAAAAATGTGTTCTGGCTTCACTGCCATGAAAAACAATTTGAGAAGGAGACTCCTACACAGTGAGTTGTTCAGGAAGAACTCCACTGCACTGACAATAATCAATTTTAATAATTAAGGCTAATATGTTTTGGATAGAAGACAAGAATAAATTAAAGAAGAGCTCAGAAATGACAGGGTGATGAATGATGTGTCTTAAAAGTACCAAACAATCTTTTAATTGAACGTTTAATTTTTTTGCCAACATTATTTATCTTTTTCTCCAGCAGAGTGCTCACTTTGTTATAAATTTTATACACTGAAATACCCAAGAGGTTCTGGCCTTCGAGGGAGTCAGGGCCTGGGTGTAGGCACACTGAAAGGACAGACAGGCAGTTTCAGATCCAGAAGTACTAAGCTAGCCCAGTGATTCTCAACAAGGTGGGCTGGACTTTGATCCCAGAAGACATCTGGCAATGTTTGGAGACCTTTTGGGTGGTTACAACTGCATGTGGGGAGCAGCTGGTACCTACTAAGCAGAAGATAGGGAGATGGCTAAACATCCTACTGTTCACAGATCGCCTTCCACAACAAAGAATTATCCAGGCCCAAATGTCAATGATGCCTGAGGTGAGAACGACCAGGCTAAAGAGAACTAGTCTGGACTGAAGAAATCGGGGTGTCCTCAGACACTATGTTAGGGTCTGCTGGAGGTGGCTGAGGTCAGCACAAACATCTCCCCAAGTCTCCACTCTGAGTGAGGCTACCCTACCCCACGTAGGCTCACCAGGCTGTGTGCAAAAGAACTCCATTCCTTTTAAACCCCATTCTCCATCATATGCTTGGCTTTACACATTTGTTTCCAAACTGTCCTGTCACTTTCAGTAGTAAAATATCTTTTTTATTTTTAGTAAATGTTCAACTCCATCTGCCCTGAGGAGTAGGGGAGGTCCTTTCCTACCATTCTGCACAGTGTGGGTTCCTGAAAATGTTTTTATATTTCTACCATCAAACATAGTCAACACTCAATAAAATGAATCTAATGAATGAATGAATGAATGAATGAAAGAAAAGCCTGCCAAGATATTACCTTAGCATTAGCCAGTTAATGGAACATTAAAAGCTGTTAAAAAACAAACAAACAAACCCAGGCAAATATGACTGAAGTGTAAAGCCCAGTATTTTACATTTATATAATGTGGTCTTACACAACAAAGTTCCTCATCTGCCCTCCAAATACGCAGTACATTCAAATACTGATAAGATTACAAATTATGAATTATTAATATTACTAATATTATTCAAATATTAATAAAATTACAAATTAATATAATTACGATTTTCCAGGTTCAAAGTGCTGTCAAAATGACAAACCTGAGATAATTTTGTGGTAGTGGCAGGCAGAAGTGGGCGGCTAAACTTCTTCTGAGAGCCAATGGCTGCTGGAAATGGTGGGGCAGAAAATACGGCTGCGACACAGTTAATTTTGTTTATCCACCCTTGCATTTCCTCTGGACTCCTATGAGAAATAGAGACATTTATGTTAGCATATTTTTATATCTACATACATCATATTCTGCCCACTAAATCCCTAACAAAATTTCAGTGGGAATTATCATTCTCAATAGTGATCACTAGGACAGTGAAAGGCTCTGGAACCTATGGTCATCATAGCATAATATTGATTATCCCTCTGGAATATAGAAGAAAAAAAGAGAAATATACTTATTAGACTTCTACTTTCCATTAGGTCAAAAACTAACTAAAAATGAACTCATCTCTTCTAATAACAATTTTATTTTGGGGTCAGGGATTTAGCTCAGTGGTTTCGCTGCCTGCTGTGCAAGGACCTGAGTTCGATACCCGGTACCAAAAACAAAAAAAACAAAAAAAAACAATTTTATTTTGAAGTCCAACTGAGGAATATATCAATATAGGGAATGCAAAAGGCTATATCCAATTTGGAAAACAGTTGATAGCTTCTTTAAAAGTTAACTATAAATTTATCATACAACTCAGCAATTCTATTCCTATGTAGGTACCTTGGGAAAATAAAAGCATATAACTACACAAGCATTTGTCCATCTATATTCATGGGATCATTATTTCTGAGAAGCAAAAAAGGGGGAACAAAATCCAAATGCCCAACAACCAGTGAATGAATAAACAAATTGTGGTAAATCTAAACAGTAAGATAGTATTCAATAAAATTATGAAGTGCTGCAGCACGGAAGAACGCCCAAACCTTCATGCTAGGTGACAGAAGCCAGATACAAAAGATTACATATGATATGATTCCATTTACATGCACTGTCCAGAAAGGCAATACTTGAAGAGACAAAAATGTATGTCAGTGAATGGCGGGGGCTGGAGGTGAGACTGGGGAGTAACTGTCAAATAGACACAGGGATCTTTCTGGAATGATGGAAGTGTTCCAAAACTGGATTGTTTTGATGGTTGGGTCATTTTTAAATTCAATAAAAATCACAGAAACACATATTTAAAACAACTGAAATTTTATGGTATATAAAGTATAGCTTAGTAAGACTGTTAAGATCTATCTTAGAGGAGGTGGAAATCATCTGACGTCATGATCACATTTTTAATTTATGTCATTATATCCAGAAAGGATGGTTAACAAATATTTATGAATTCAAAAATGAGTTGTAGAAATGGCCATGAACCAGGAAAGATTATCTGCCATGTACACTGTCATAAAGAGAATATGAAAAAGTGTTAGCCAAATACAAAATCATTTCCTTTACTGATTATGCTGGAAGAAAGCCCTCTAACCTGACACCATACTAGGTATCAGCTCTTCAATATACCTCATATGTCTCTCTAGTGTGATTACTCCAATGCTGTTGTTTCAGTTCTACTTGAGGTAACTAAATTTCCTTAGGTGTTATATCACGTATTTTAGACTTAAAAATTAATGTGGAACAGAATAATATGAAAGATTCTTTATGCCTAATAGCTATAATTATGCATCTAGCTATGGTTCCCCTGCGGGAGGGAATGGAGCCCCCCATTCCCACACTGAAAAAACCCTGTTTTCTTATATCAGCTGATGCCAGCGATGTTATACTCTTCAAAGTTCCATACCCAATAGAGTACTAGATCTTGTTCCCACTTACCTTTTTGATGTCACACTGCTGATCAACAACTACACATATGCTTGTACTTACTACTTTCATTGTTAAATTTTAATTCTAGCATCAGTTGGGTCTGCTGATAGTATGAAGTTGAAGATGATTCTGAAGTCAAGCTCAAGCCATGAATGATTTAACACCGTCTGCTAGACTGACAGTATGAGTGACCGCTACTGAAATTCCTGCTCTTTGAACCTCTATTTTGAAAATCTAAAGTTTCTCACTTTACAAATCCAGAATTCTTCATGTGGAATGTTCTACTTCTAATCTGTAGTCTGTCACTGGACCTCCTAAGAAACTTGGAATGTATCCCATTTCCATGTTCACAACATGATTTTACGTTTTCCTAGGACAGCCACAGACTACTAGCCGTCAGAAGGAAAGGGAAACAAGAATAAAATGGAAAATTTATATTTGTTGAACAGTGTCTACATACTAAGTGCTCTGTGCAATGCTTTATGCACTGAGCTCATTTAATCCTCACCAGAACGCTATGAGATAAACATTACCACCTACAGTAGCAGCAAGCCAAGGTTTAATGACGTTAAAAAATTATGTGCTGTGAGAAAGAGCTAGGAAATACTGATTCAAATCCATATCTGTATTACTCATTTTGTGAGAGAACATGTCTACTACAACTCTCATTTTATTCATGAGGATACTGAGTTCTAGAGATGATAAGTAGCTAATTAAAGTCACGGAGATACTAATAACACATGGTAACATGGTCCCTATGGGGATCAAACTCAGGACCTCGTGCTTTCGAGGCAGGGGGCAGAACCACTGAGCTAAATCCCCAGCCCCGTAGTCCCTATGTTTTTATGTGAGTCGCCTCAGGTAGTTATTTCTCTAATGTAACCAGTTCATCACCCTGATGCCAATTCACAAAATTTCCCATGCAGAGCCTGATTGTATTTAGCATAAAATGGTGGTAAGGGAACTAAAAACTAAAAACAAATAAGAACCAAAGTAAAAAGACATACTGGGTTTGAAAAAGCAAGACCCTCCAGTCAGCAGTTTTGAGTTTAAACACATTCGGCTTCTTTTCGTAGTCTGTGGCCTTGGACGCCAGGGCATGGTGCACACTCACAGCATTTTTCAAGTCCTCCTCCGACAGGGCCTTTTCTGGTTTATATTCGTCCTACAGAGGGATACAGAGAAAACAGAGATGAGAGGATCAGATTTCAATGTCTCTCTTTAAAACCTGCAACTAGAGGAAAATATTTTAGAGGAATCCTTGAAAGTACATGAAAAAAAGTGAATTGAATGGTGGGCAAAACTTTGCAAATTTATCAATGCCACAGAATAGCATGGTGTTTGAAACAACTGCTGAGAATGAGACAATCTAGACAAAAAAGCTAATATATAATAACTACAGCAGAAGGAGAATTATTACACACACTTTACAGCGATTTGAAATGAGGCTAGGTAAAGAGTGATCTGGTTTCTGGGTTAAATGGACAAATGGAAAACTTACAGATATCAACAGAATTATACTGCTGGTAGAAACAATGCCATTGCATTCTTTGCTCTAACATCGCAACATTTTCCTACTGCTTTTGGGGAGCAAATATTATCAAAAGAAAAAGGAACAGTAAAATGATTTCTCTAGCTCTTCTGCTCAAAAGAAGAAAATAAATTTAATAAACAAGAGAAAGCTTAGTTCCATTATAATCTTAAAAATAGGCAACATTACATAAGAAGAAAAGTCATATATATGCAATTTTGTTTTGGACATCAACTGCACAACGCATAGAGTTTAAAAAGTTCCTTTGTGTGGCATCCCTTCAAACAACAACAGTAACATAAATCTCAACTAATAGAATAATAATTAGCATTTTCATTATTTTCAGTAGCTCCTGGGTTTATTAGAATAAAAGAGGCCCAACCCCAATGTAAGTACACTACCTATATACTGCATATGCTACAAACTTGCAAGAGATGTTTTCTAGAGTTCAAGGCCCCTGCTCCCATATTTTTTAAAGAACAAGATATGATGGCATTTATCCTGCAAGGAAAACACACACGCGCATGCTCCCCTCCCCACACATACAGACACTACCTTCTCATCAGTAACAAACATCTATCTGTTCTCTTATCACAGTCTGGTCTTACAAATTTTCAGAAAAATAATTACAATCCCCCATATCTTCCCTCATTTTCACCAATACCATCTACAAATCAAGTGACTCAAATGTATCATTATCCTTAAGTTACACTGAGTGAAAAATAAACAGGCCTTTGATCTTTAATGATCACTCTTAGTGATCTTGATCTAAAATATGAAGTAAATGCCAATAGCAATATAACGATTACCCAAATGTATAGTACTAGATGACAGAGTTTCTACATTAGGATTGTAACAAGTCTTACTAAGACTCAGAGGTTATGAAAAGTGTTGCTAACAATGACAGCATTCTAGGGAGGTAGGAGGAACATAGGAGAGCAAAAAGAAAATATTAAAGTAAAACAATAGCTCTATATGTATCTGTTCTTGTATGGTTGTCATTAATGCATACAAATGTTTTGAGGTCTTTTTTTAAAAAAAATAGATTTTTTTCCCCTCAATGATTTAGTATTTCAAATTCATGAATCTCCTTCCAGGGGAATTTTTATTAGAGTAGAAATTTCAAGTAGATTTACCGTGACAACAAAATCCCTCTCTGGCCTTAGGATTTTACTATTCTAGAATCCTGCATGTCTGGCCCTTCACCCAAGGTAACAGCTTCCTTTCCAAATAGGAATCTGAAGCACATAAATAATGGGAGGGGAGATAAATGGCTAGGACCAAAGTTGCCTTAAGAGAATTTATATGCAGCCTCTATTCCATATATACTGATCTGCTAACATACTTAATATTTGAATTGGCACAGAAATTAGCCTCAACATGTATCTGCACCTGTTTTCCTGTTGTAGGTCTACAGTTTGGGCTTTTATTCAGGTCTTCCCTATTTTCCTTTGGGCTTTTTGTTGTTGTTTGAATTTCTTAATATGATTACTTGTTTTTCTTATTTCTTCTTAAGGAAAAATTGAAGACTATAATTTTTTCTGAGTATCTTTACACCATGTAACATAGTCTGGGAATAAAAACTATTTTTTTATTGCTTTCTACATAGCTATAGTTTTAATTTTTGATATTTGTAGTATCAAGGAATGTGGATTATACTTTAGTTGCTGTGTTGTATGGTGCACTTAGATTAATAAATATCTTCCTTACAACGTTGTGCTGTTCATTATTTTAAAATGTTCTTCCTTATCTTGTTTAGTGCTTAACCATGTAAGATGGGAACTTAAAAGAATCTCTTCTACAAAAAAATGCTATTTCTTTACTCCTCACATATCACAAAGACTTTTATATTAGTTTTTCCCTATATCTCTCTCCCTGTTCATCCTAAATTCTGCTTAAGTCGTTTAGTACATTTTGTTCTGCAATCTTACTAAAATTACATTACATTATTCATTGTTTTAAGAAATCTTATTTTGTATACATTATGCATACCCTGTGTCTTGCCTTATTCTTTTAATTGTGCATTCTTTTAGATTTAACTTGGTTTCATTGCTCATCTGCTTTCTCTCTTTTCATCATCTTGACATCTCCAGTCTGAGATTTTCATTATTTTGTCTTCTCTCAAGTATTTTTTCAGGGGGGGGCAATATTGCAATCCTTTTTTCATTTCACTTATAGATGGTGCTCCACAGTAATCTAGCTTCCAATTTAATGTCAGTCTGATTCTTTCCTCTTTGTACTGTTTTTTCTATTGGGAATCTCTCAAGAGTTTCTCTTTATTCTTAGAATTCGGGAATTTTTGTGACTGGTCCTAGTTCAGATTTAAGATTTTCAGCTTTGCTTGTATCCAGTGCCAACTGATAACTCTTTTATGATAATCTTTCTGTTCCACTCTGCCAAATGTATATAACACACCTAATTCGCCACAACTAGGGCATATGGGTGTCTGGAGTTAGAAACATCTGTGTTCAAATGCCCATTTTTCATACTTAATGTCTCTTGCGACCTTAAATAGATAAAACTCATTAAGATTCAGTTTCTTCTATTGCACATTAATGATAATACCTTATTCTCCAATTGTAGGCTTAAATTACTTGATATACTGTTTTGGAATTTAGTAATGTTCATAGCAGAGCTGAGGCTATAGGTCAGTGCTAGACTGCTTGCCTATCATGCACAAGGGCCTGAATTTGTTCACTAGCACTGCAAAAAAGGGAAAAAACCAGGTCCATAGCATATAATAGGCACTCAATAAATGCTTGCTGGTAAAAATACTGCTAATAATGTCTTTTATGGCATATTGGTTAACCTTATATTCTATAAAGTTAATTTGTAAATATCAAACCTTATGCTTACTTCTCCTATAAATATACATATTTTGTGACCTCATTCATCTTCTCTACTCCAATAACAGTGGCACCTTGTGTTCTCAGTTCAATTTCCCACAACCTTTTCCAGGGCCTGCTTTCATTGCTTATTGTTTTTCTTTTATAACTTTAACCATCTTTTATCTACTGGCTTCTTCTGTAGCCTAAAAATATACAAAAGGTTTTTGTTATCTTTACAAGGTAGTGGTCCTTCCTGAATATTGCTTCCTTTATTAGGTGCCACCTCTCTCCTTTCCTTCATATCTGAGTTAATAGTTCACACTAACTGTTTTTATGTATTCATTTCCAGTTGGTTCTTAAACCCAGTTAAACTAGAGTCCATTTCCACATTTTATTGAAAATGCCTTGACAAAGATCACCAATAACTTCCTAATTGCAAAACTCAAAAAAAAATTTTTTCAGTTCTTTTCACAAATATGGCACCTGAAGAAATCAGTCATTCTTCAAATTCTTTCTTGGCATCTTATTATTATTACAATATTTTCCAAGTTTCTCTATCTCTCTGGCCATTATTTGGCTAGCTCCTCTTCAGCCTGCCCTCGAAATGTTCATCCTGCAACTGGCCTAACTGGCCTTCTTACTTTCTCATTCCGTAAGTACTCCTTGGTATGGTCACAACCACACTTATGGTTTCAGCTTCTACCTACATCGTGATGTCTATCAAGTAGCTATGAGTGAATAAGAAACACAAGGCCAAATGGTAGCTATTAATTCTGAATGACTTAGACCTTATCATTTGGAGGTGGTGTAATTACACTTGCAGCATATTCTGTCTGCTAATATTTTCATTTAAAACCAAGCTTAAAAATGACATTCTTAGACTACTCTAAAATTGCACAGAATTATAACATGTAACACAGACCTAAGTACAGATCTAAGTAGAATCCCATAATAATTGGCACCTTTTGATGCGATATGAAGATGGTTTGCCCCTTAAAAACATGGAGGAATTTAAACCCCAAAGCCTTAGGCCAGTGGTATTAAGAGAGTAGAAACAAATTCAATTATAGTATTTAGACATGGCGGGGGTTTCTGGGAAGTGATTAGATTAGGCCATTAGGGTGGAGCCCTCGAGATAATAAGGAGAGGGAGAGAGAGCACACAGAGACACACACCTGTTGCTACAGGATATGATGTAGCTCAAAGGGGATTTCGCCATCTTGCTTGAACTTGTGCTTCCAGAACTATGAGCTAAAATAAACCTTTTCCTTTGTAAAGTTGCCTGCCTCAGGTACCACATTATAAAATGAAAAACTGTAATAAATCTTTAGGGAACAGTATCACTGTTTTTGAAGAGGTCTCTATTCCAAAGCAGCTTCGTTACTTTATCTAAAATCAGAACAAAAACACTCCACTGGGCAGAAATGGAAGACAGCATCTATTTAGTTAGGTTTAAACTGAAGTCTAGGAATTTTAAGTCTAACAAGATTATAATTATCTCATTAATAATAAAATCATTTTATCATGTTTTTTTAAAAAGGCCAAATATAAACATTAAAGTATGCTCAGCATTCTACATTCCTACTAGACAATGAAGCGCTAAGCCCAGGGAAAAAGAAGCAAAACCCAGGGTAGAGTGGAAACATTAGGGTTGACAAATGAATAAAAGAAATAACTGTATCTTATGCAGTTCATTCTGATACCTTTGTCACTATCCAAATTGGAAGATGGTGTTTTAAATGAGGGGACTGGGAAGAAAGCAATAAGGGATAAATTATCATAATCAAATCATTTCAAATCTAAGGC